ATGTCGATTATGACTTACTATACTGCACTTGTGGCAAATACAAATGCTACAGTCATGACAGTAATAATCAAGCGGTTCATTCTCGTGATATTTCTTTGCACACATGGCGGGTCTGTGCATCAACTCCTCCACATCTTGCGCTTGCAAGTTTTTGATAAAAACATTGCGATGACCTCTTGTGGCCTTCAGGCGCTGATGAGCATCAAAACAATCCTTGCAAAGAAAGTTCTGGCAAACAAAGCAATAGCAAGTTGCCGTGTTGTTTTCTTCACAACTGTTGCATGTCTGAGCCTCTTCGCTGCCATCTCTCAGAGCGAGGAGATCCACCAGTCGGTTGAGATGAAAAGATGTGGGAAGGCTGCCAAACGTGTCTCCTTCAGGGATCTGAAAGCAAGCCTGACAAACTGGACATTTGATCGTCGTTTCTAACTTTCTCTTTGCATATCCTGCGTGCTTGTCGATACACTGCAGACAGAATGAGTGTAGACATGGCAGTGTCTTGGGATCTTTGACTGTTTCTAGACACAGCGGACACTCGGCTTCCTTCTTGAGATTTGTAAACAGCTGTTGAACATCCATATCTAGCTGAATAAGTTGAGAGCTGGGTGCAGTTGACAAGTCACATCGCTTATCATGCATAAAACGTGACTTAGCGGAGGGACCAGTCACCTAATAAGCCCTCACCCTCTCCACCCTATTCAGATTTCCAAGTGTAACCTTTGAAGAGTTTCAATGTGTTATTACTCGGGTTTCGGCTTCGTTCTTAGCTTCGTTCAGATGTAAATCGCAGTTAAATTTTAAACACGCCTGCGCGAAGTTTTGTGCATGATAAGGATCAATGGCATGGCATGGTGTAATGGTGAAAGAAGAGAAGCATTCGGGGTGAAAAATCAACACAGATACTGTGTATAATACGCTGAAAATGTGTGCAAAATATGCACACAGCGTTCGCGGTTGACCCACACTAAAAGATTTCGAGCGTTTTCGGAACGGGTCGGTTCGCGAACCTTGTGAGAGATCTTTTATGAGTGAACTTTCATCAAGAAACATGCAATATTAACTGAGCTATCTAATGTCAATCGAAAGAAGCAGAAACGCAAATCTCATCGTGTATGTAGACGTGATCGTGAACCAAGCAGAATGCCAATACGAAGTTTGAAAAGTAGGAACAAGAGCAGAAAGGTTAGAGAATTTGTATATGCGCGTATTCTTTCATGTATACCCATGCCTCTACATTGTACTGTTATGTAAATGCAAAAAAACTATTAAATAAAACGACGTTTTAGTTTAACTTTCGTGAAAGAATTCGTCAAAGTATAAGAAAGATAAAATATCGTGCCAGTCGATATTTAAAATTGTTTTCTTGTAACAAACTGATATGTTCTTGGGACAGAATGTAGGACAACAGTGTGTTACAATGAGTTTGTGCTCTTTGCTTTTATTACTATATCATATAAGGGATCAGCTGACTGCGAATGATCTTGCACAAATATCAAATATAGGAAATCTATTTTATTCAAGTTTCTCCCGATTAACCAGACAGGCATTTTTAATGCAGTCAGAATTACCAACAGCATTACATGTGTTCGACACTGATTATCAACTGGAATACAGTGAAAGCTACTCTGGTACTGTTCACCAAGAAACTACAATAGAGGGAGATCAGTACTGTACCTCTTTATGAAGAGCCTTTGAGTTGCACATATCTGAAAACAACACCAATACATAATAACCCTGAGGTGTATTGCTGTTACAACCTATTGTAATAGTAAAATTGGGTTCAAATATTTGATTCTTGTGCTAGAGATTTGTATGGTAGAGGGTAGCCTCAAGGTACAAGTCTTCTTCTTAAAGCACTGTCCCTTGATAGTTTTGTGCATTATTTTTCAGAGTATGCTTAATGGTATATTTGAAGTGAGTGGAGTACAAGTTGAGAATATTCAAAATAGAATGGTTTCTCAACACAGTGTGAATGAACCACAAACTTCAATCTTGGTTGTGCTGTAGCTCTATCCTCTCTATACTACTCTACTCTGAAACCATGTAATTACTGGAATTACAACTCATCCTAACCCACCATTGGTGACAGTGGCAAAAAAATGTGTTATAAATCAAGTTTAGAACACAGCTAACCTTTCCAAGAACTGTAGATGTTTGTGGAACTGTGGTAAATTTAGATAATTTGTTTTCAACTGAAGGACTATTAACTGATTCACTTCAAAGTAAGTCAATTCTTGAGAATGATATGATGAATAATATTGAATGCACAGAGTTTTTGATATTGTTTTTCTCTTATTGCATCAGTTGTACCTTTAAACCCACAAAAAATAAAGACAGGAATTGCAGAAAAAACTGTCCCAAAATAACAAGACCTGCTAAAGAAAATGGCACAACAATATAAACTATGGATTCTGATAGAATCAAGAGTTGTTAAACAAAAAAGCACAAGAATGCAAAACAATGGATGCTGCTACTAAACAAGAAGTACTTGAGAGACACAATAAAAATATTGTATTTGTAAGAATGAAACTGTAGATTTGTGTATTGAAGAGTTTTAACTGAAAAATAAAGGAAGGCCCATATTGTATTTGTTGTATATGTAACAGAACACTCTAGAAGAAATCTGTCTTAAAACTCAATAGAACTAGTTACCCTTCTCAGGACATTTTTAATATACTATTGTCATTTGATGGAAAAGAGCGTATCTGTAAGGCTTGTCACTCTAAAGTCAATCAAGGCAGTCTTCCATGTCAAGCAAGAGTAAACAACTTATATGTAGATAACA